GTATGAATCTGAGGACGGATTTGGCGCCGAAGACGGCGGTTGAGGTTGCAAGCGCCTTGAAAGAGGTGGGAGCAGGGGCCTGTCTACTTGCAGTGACCTTCTTCTTTGAGCTTGCCAGGAAACTGTGGCAGAAGAGCCGCCGGAGGTCAAAGCTGCAGATCCTGCGATATCTTTGGGCGTCGACGTGCTTCCCAACAACAGCCATGAAAGTGAGCAGGTGGCGAACCCCGATTTGGAGAAGGAACAATTCTTGGCCCACACCTTCCCAGATTTGTGCCCTCCGGATTATGTGAAAGATATCTTGAAAAAGGTTGACCGCGGCACCTTGGAGAATATGGTGCAGTACGCCAAGCATCGCGCCTGGGCCGCCTTATGATATAAGCACTTCTAGCCATTGAGCTCGTGATGCTTAGACACTTGGCTCCCACTATTGCTTCAGGTATTTTCTCTTTCATTGACATTCGGCTGTGGAACTCGGGCAGTTCGGTCAAGATAGACTGGGAAACGAGCAGCATGGAGTGGGGCGAGGGGCCATTTCTGTTTGTTGCGGATTCCAAGTCCTGGGGCCCCTCTGGCATTCCTTTGCCATTCCAGAAGATGATCTATGACGGGCTCCTCTGTGATCCGAAGGCTGACGACGAGAATCTCAAGAGCTACCTGAGCGAGAATTCGGTTGCCATCTTCTTGGACGGCTGCAACCAGACCGTCTCGCAGCAAATTAACAGGGAATGCCAGCGGCGCATGAAGCAGCACTCTGCGAAGTTCTGCAGGAAGCAGGGGATGATTGTTTACAGGCTGCTCTACCATGGCCGCGAATTCCATTCCAATCATCCGCTCTCATTGCGTTGCAACCGCGGGGCCGTGCATTCGAAATTGTCGGATCCCCTTGAGAGCCTGTACTTGCTGAAGGGAAAGGCCACCACCGTCGCAACCCGGGAGCGGCTCTACTTGACCTCCCGGGTGACAGCCGACGACTGGGATTTGGCTCATTGCTTCTCGGCTCATTCTGCGCTTGCGTCTATAGCTTCTCTTCAGACTCCTGATTTTCTAGCTGATATCTAAGGAACAGGAAATCTGAGGATGACCTGAGCATGGAGTTTGTCACCCTGGACACCCACAAAAAAATCATGGAGTCCAGGCCCAAGTCGGCAGACTTTGAGGCAGCGGCTGCTGCTGCGCAGGCGGCTGCTGCTGGACAGGCGGCATCAGCAGTGGACTCTGCAGAGTCCGCGGATGAGACCACAGAAACTGCTGCGGCCGTGGCTCTGTTCCCACTGGAGCCGCCAGAAGCCCACGCAAAAGAGTGGATTAACCTTTTCTGTCCCGATTCCTGCTCGAGAGTCATCGACTTCGCCATTGGTGCCGGCCAAATGGCTCTGGCTTGCTGCCGCAAGCAGCTTCGCTACCGGGGGCTCGCCTTCTCGGAGTTTCACAAGCACGTCGTCATCCAAATCTTGACTCTGAAGGTCGTACGGGAGCTCATTCTTCAGACAAAGGATGGCTTTGGCACGTCGAGGTTTCTGAGCAAGACTCGGAGCCTCAATGGTTCAGAGGCTCCCCCTGCCCAGCCTGAAAGGTTGCTGGAGCCAGCTTCGAGTGCAACGGCAACAGGGACGCAGCCAGTCAAGGATGAGCCAGGCAGTGACAANNNCAGCTCTACGGAGTCTTTTTGATGCGGGCATTGTTGTGATCTCTTGCGGTGGTGTCAGCCTGCTGGATTTTGTACCTATGTAGTAATTATACATAAAATTGTGAGCTTATTTGGGGTTAGGGGTTGTAGATTCCTATAGTCATGTGTCAAAACAAGAATGCCGGCAGCTGCCTCCAACCACTAGAGTCACTACAGCCCTGCCCAATTCCAATGTGGAATGCTTTGAAAATTTTCGTGTGAAGGCATGCGCTCTAGTCAAGACAGCGCTGCTTCCGCTCCCAGGTCCAGTCAGAACTGCTTGTAAGATCAGTGAGAGCGTGTTGCCAAGTCGAATTGTCACTTGGCAGGGAGATGTGGATCATGGTCGCACGCACAAATCAGGCCGAATATGAGCAGCGGACTTCAGACCGCTCATGACTAGATTCTGCTTGCTGCTACTTGCGCGAAGTTTTGCGCGTGATCCAGACATGTTGCTGCCTTGCCCCAGGGCCCCAAGTTTTGTGACTGATCCCAGTCTTGCTGCCGGCCCTCACACGTGTGAAAACATGGCTGCTTCTTCTGGCTTGATGCCAGCACTGATCCAGAAGTATGGAGATCGGGTGCAGGCGTGGGCGTTCTCAGAGTTTCCAGTGTGTGCTGCAGTGAACCGTAGATAGTAGTGCGTGGCCAGGGAAAGAGGATCATATCACTCCATCCGGGCGCCCTCGATCCTCTTCTTGGGCTCTATGGTGCAGGCTGGCCACTTTGCCTTCAGCCTGGGTTGGAGTCCACGAGCGTGCAGGAAGAACGAGCCAGATACTTCGTGAAGGATCTGAACATGTTCTTGTACAAGTGCGACGTGGAGAGGAGCTGGAGGATCAATCCAGCAGACGTGCCCAAGAACCCCATCATCTTCATCACCGGGAAGTTCACGGTCGAGGAAGTGAAGAAATGGGTTGAGGTTTACAGCGCGGGGCAGCCGTGTCTTGTCTGTTGCGTTGGCGGTAACAATTTGCTAAGTAAGCCTCTGCATGTCCTGGCTTTCATGTACTGGGATTGCCAAAGACTTGGCTTTTCCTCACCTGCAAGGGCCAAGAGCGGGTCGTGGACAAGGTCAAGGAGATTATAAAGATGCCGACCTACTCAAGGTTCCTGTGCGATCAGCTGTGGTTCTTGCCACAAGGTGTTGGCGACTTCTATGTGAGAATCTTCTGTGAGAGGGCGGTTGACTTCTCTGAGAAGCTCCAACTCACCATTGCAGAGATTGGGAGTAACCTCAGCCGTGGCGTGAGCGTGACGAACTACCTCCTGGGCAACCGCTACCACCCAGGAGAGAGCTTCCGGAGCCACGGGGCCGGAGTTGGCAAGCGCAGCAGCAAGCGCAAAGCAGCAGAAGCTCTGGAAGAGGAGCACAAGCAGCATGAACAACATGACACGAGCCCCGAGGACATGTTGAAGAAGATCGCGGAGAAGGGGCTAGTCGCCAAGGATTTGAACATGAAGATTCTCGGCAAGTGCAAGGACAAGTTCGGTGACCATGGCAAGGCTGCCGTTGTCAACTCCTATGTCCTTCATGAGCGACTTGCTCTTGTGACACCTGCTACGGCCCTTTTCTGTGGCACGGCAAAGGCCATTGGCAGCCACCTCGATGTCTGC